AAAAAAAAAAAAAAAAAAAAAAAGTATCGTATGATCTGAGGTTCGATGGCTCGCACTCCGAATCAAATACCCTCCTAGTCAAAATTAGAGATGTCCATCCGATTGGATATAAACTGTCTTTTATTTAAATTCTCATTAAAAAAATAATAATAATTGTTTTTAGATAAGAACAACAATTTCCAGCTGAAAATTCATTAATTTTTATTTTTTAATATAATTTCTATTAAAAAAATAAAATGATAATATTTTTTAACCTATAGTATTCAATATAATTTCTAAATATTTAAATTTTAAAATGTTGTTTTTGACTGTAACTAAAATTAATATTCTTAAAATTAGAGGTCCAATATATATATATATATATATAAACATAGAAATTTAAAGATTAAAATAGGGTTTAAACTTAATCCATTAATAAAAAAAAAAAGTAATTAATTAAGAATTTAGGATATTGGAACTTTTATTTATTAATTGCGAAATAACTTCTCTCAATTTTTTAAATAATCATTAATTATCACTTAATTAATTAAAGTATTTATAATAATTATTTATGAAATCTAAAATTCATATTATTAACTTTTTTTTATTAAAAAAAAATTAAGAATATTGTTTGGATTTAAATCTAACTTTACTATCGGTCACAGAAGTTAATGGGTAAGGTTAGATATTGAGAGATCTCAGATACGGAGCGAAGCATTCTTTATCCTACGTAGAAACCTCCCCTAGCAGATCTATTTTAAAATTACGAGGCTGACGACGATATATAACGGGTTAAAGTAGATAATATCTTCTAACGATGGCTATAAATTGTTACAATAGTATCAAAATTAGGCATCGAGCAGTGTGACAGCAAAGACGCTAGCCCTGGATTAACAGGGAATACTTGATTTATTATTTACATTCATTTTTAATATAATTTTTTATTTTTTTAAATCAATTTTTTTTGCGTGAAGTTTTAAAAAATTAAGGATAAATGTATTTTTCTAAAAGTTTTAATTTTTTAAATATAAAATTATTATTGAAAAGTTTGAAACTAAAAAAGCATTTTTAATAGAAGTATTTTTTTTTATTTATTAATTTAATGTAACAAAAATGGTAAAATAGATTATATTGTAATAATTACATCTCTTTATCGAATTCAACAAAACAACACTAAAAATTTCAGAGTCAAATAAATGAATTAAAAAAAAAAGTTTTATTTTTATTTTTTTAATTTTAATCTTTTAATTCGGTAATTGAAAAAATATTAAAAATATTTTATTTCCTCTGGCAGTACAGACCTGAGCTGAGCAGTGGCAGAAGCCTCGAGAGTTGGACCGGAAGTCACATCCCTGGGAGGTTTTCTCGGAAGATCCACCGTCAGATTCCACCTTCCCGTCTCTTCCAAAACTCAATCTCCACCGTCCGATTTGCTTACTTTTTTCTTTTTTTCATCCACCAAAATTCCCACCGGCCCTACGCTGCCGTCCGTGGGCCGGACCGGCCGGTTCCCTCCCTTTCTGTACCCCTTACTTACATGTACCTTAGTCTACCACGTCCTTGTACAACGTACTACGACCCACCTATAATTATTGGTTTTGGTTTGGTTTGGTTTGGTTCGGCTTTTAACGGAAATTCTCTTGAGTTAGGTTCACCTCAAATGGTGGGGAATCTTAGGCTTCAAATAGGATCGAAATAAGATTTATCTCGATACAGTATTGTAATCATAGTAATGAAGATTCGAAATCTTCAAATTTAGAGAGGTTTATGGGTATTTTGATTGTCGAGTTGTTTATGTTAGCTCGAATTTTGATTAATATTTCTCTTCTTAGATAAGCTCTCAAATTTGATCTCAAATGGTGTGAGAATGAAGAGCGGAAAGCTTGTTTATTGCAAAAACAGAAAGCTTTTGTGAGATCCTACATCAGTTGGGGAGGAGAACAAAACATTCTTTTTAAGGGTGTTGAGACCTCTCTCCCGCAGACGTGTTTAAAAACATTAAGAGGAAGCTCGAAAGGGAAAGCCTAAAGAGGATAATATTTCCTAGCTGTGGGTTTGGACCGTTACAAATGGTATCAAAGCTAGACATTGAGCAATGTGCCAGCGAGGAGGCTGAGTCTTGAAGGCGGTGGACATGAGGCGGTGTGCGAGGAAGAACGCTGATCCCTAAAGAGGGGTGAATTGGGGGGTCCCACATCGATTGGAGAAGGGAACTAGTGCCAGCGAGGACGTTAGCCCCAAAGAGGTGTGGATTTGTGAGATCCTATATCGGTTGGAGAGAAGAACGAATCATTCTTTATAAGGGTGTGTAAACCTCTCTCTTGCAAACGTATTTTAAAAACCTTGAGGGGAAACTCGAAAAGGAAAGCTGAAAGAGGACAATATCGGCTAGCGGTGGGCTTGGGCAGTTACAGCTTTTGTCTTGCTCGCATGTTGGAACTTTTTTCTAACGGGTCAACTAACCAAATAAAAAATAAGGTTCATTACTCAACCTATAAGATTGTTATTAAGATTAAGAATAATTGATGCTCGTAAAGAATATTAGCGATGAGTTGTGACTTGTAAATGTTTAATATTTAAGTTTTATATGATTTTTTTGAATAATTAAAAAAAAAAAAAAGAACAACTGAACCCAACCCAACCCAACCTGAAAATTAGAGGGTTAGGCTGGGTAGTGAATCTAGTTAGGTGATTCAGGTCACCAACCAAACCGCTCTAAAATCTTGGATTGGTTCAAAACTTTTCTCAAACCCCAACTCGTAAACACTCGTAATTCTTGCCACCAACCAAACCGCTCTGAAAATTTGGATTGGTCTACAACTTTTCTCAAACCCAACACAGTCTGAACTCGAGCACACTCGTAATTCGGGTCACCAACTAAATCAACCTGAAATTTTAGATGGTCCAAAACTTTTCTTCACCCCAACCCGTGCCCTCCTCGTAACTCTAGGTTATACAAGTCTAACCTATATGCCATAACTTATATACCCTACATAAATTATTGAATGAAGATGAATTTAATTGTCTCCTTAACAATTACCAAGTAATGATATAGTGTTGAATGGTCTATTGTGATATAAAGTCATTGTTTAAACATTAAAGGGTTTGAATTTAATTAGGGATAATGTGGTGACCACCAATATGAAAATAATATGAAAATAATATGTCTAATTTTTAATTAAATATATTCTTCATTAAAATTTAATTTCTTGTTATTACAAATGAATAAACGATGGATTAGCAATTTTTTTTAATTTATAATTGATTTAAGATTAATAAGTTTAAATAAATGATCTCGCAAGTCCCGTGTTTAAAAAATGCCCATAAAATTTTTAAACCAATATTGACAGTCGTAACCTTTATAAAATAAAATAAAATAAAAATTCTAATCAACCATATATAGACAAAAACTATATATTTATCCTTCAAAAATCATTGTCGAATTTTTTAATATTATTTTTGAAAGTTTATGGGTATTTTTGAAATGTGGTACTAACAGTTTCGTTCATAATAAAACTTTTGAAAAGAGTGCGGTTATATTTTTAAAATAAAATATTAACCGTTCGTCTAAAATTAATTTATTAAATGAATCTTAAAATTTAAATTTTAATAGACATAAAAATAAGATATCTAAGGATCTATTAACACAAAATTATCTACGAAAAACTTAATTTATGAAGTTTAAGAATTTATTAAATTCAAAATAAAAAAATGGAAGAACTTTACGTTTACGAACATGTTTTAAATATGTTTACAGAACCTAAAAGAAGACGTTTATTCGGAAAGTAAGTTCACGAGCGTACTCTTCCCTTATTCCATTCGCCCTTTTCGAAGAACTCAAAGTATAAAAGATTTTTTCCATTTAAGACATCAAATTTAGTTAGGCAAATAAAAGGAGTGGAAAGAGGAGTTTCCATTTTCCTAAAAAAAAAAAAAATCACGTGGGATAAAAAAGAGCAATGCATATTTATTGCATGTTGAAAAATAAAAAGACACGTGAAAAATGCATAAGGTGTGAGGATTTATGCCAAAGAATGTATAATTAAAGGCGTTATTGGATGTCATGTGGGTGTTTAGCTAAAAATGGTTAATGCCTCACTGGCATTCTTTGGTGACCACTACCACTATGATGATATACTATTATGATGATGATGGGCGTTTTGCATTTTCTTTCGTGCGTGTTTTTGTTTCTGTGAGTTGGGTCGAATTGGATCGAGTTGAGACATTATTTAGATTATACTAGATTGTTCGAGTTGTCAATTTTTCAACTAATTCTCTTAGATCGAGTTGGTTCAGGTTGTTCGTGTTGAGGATTACTG